ACTTGGACCCGACTTCGTCAATATACATACAGAAAATACGAATAGACCTGATAGAGATTCGATTGTCAAATAAATACTGAATTAATATATTAAACCAGCAGCGGATTAAAGTGTGGGTGGGGGCAACTGTAAACATTGATATGTTATGAATCTTTTCAGCTCAACGTTCGAATAGGATAGATTTTACTTTTCATGTTTCTATACTTTACTTTTTCATGACCTGGTGAAATTAAGCACTCTTTAATCGATTAAATTAGTCCTCTAATCGGGCCGGGCCCCCACAGGGGATCCACTCTCGATCCTGCTGGGCCCTATAGGCGACCCCAGAACCCCAAACATTGACAATGTTAGTTATATATTTTCTAGCAACAACAGACATAGCTAACTCGAGCAGATCGTTTGCCTAGTTTGGCTAGGCCTAACCGACGTGCAAACTCGCCCGATTGATGGGCTTGCCACGCAAGTCCATAATAATGCTTAAGGTTTCGTTTGCCTAGACCAAGCCGACTCGAGTGGTTGATCACGTGCCATTATGTTTTTTCAGTACATAGATATGGCGCAACAGGGCAAGGGTTTGTAATCCCTGATTAGCTTGTTCTCAATGTGATGTGATATACTGAAGCCGATGACTTAAATATTTTTCTAGGTACTTAAAGTGTTGTTAATATTTTTCAAGCAAATTTGGACTTGTGTCTCACTGTGAAAAGCATGGGAAATTAATCTGAATTTAAACAAAGTTTTAACTAATACATTAAATAAACACAACATTTCTTTTCCTTACTGTCTCAATGGCCATGCTTTAGAATATTTTTACCATGACCTTGGTGTTACTGCAGACTCTAGGTTGAGTTTTAATAATAATAATAATAATAATAATAATAATAATAATAATAATATTTATTAGGCAAAGTTAAAAGTATACATACAACATTCTTGCCAGGAGTAAGTAATAGGCGTAAGCCCAAACAGTAAACTGCTCTTACTCCATCATCAAAAACAAATACAATGACAATACAATATAAATATATACAAAAAGTAAATTCAAAATAAATTGATTTAACTATAACAAAATGAAAAACAGAGATAAGTAATAGTTATTATTATTAATATTTTGAGATCAAGTGTTGTATAAGTATATTTGCTGCAAAAGTAATAGAAAGCCTAATTAAACACAACTGCTGGAACTTAAAGTTTTAATTAATCTATAATGTTTCTCTTGTTAGACCTAATTTCGAATTTAATTCTGTTATTTTTAATCGTGACAATATATTTTCCCCAAAATTTAACATAATATTCAAGAACATTTTGTTTAACTTGCATAGTTACCAACCGTCTCGCATCGTGCGGGACGGTCCCGCATTTCAAAGTGATTTTGGATGAAACACGCATTTTGCAGAAACACATGCGTGATCCTAAATTTGTCAGGCATTAGCACAAGTATATATGCGTGATAACGAATTATCACGAATTCAAATTTTGGAATTAGAAGAAATTGGTTTTATTAAAATTATTTAAAAAACGGTCATGTAGTAACTTGAGTCATTAGAGAGTACAATATATATGTGAATACTTATTTCACTGACGCGTTACTAAAAATTGATCAGTAAAGAAATTTCTCAATTGTCTCAATATAGGCCTAGTTGGGGTGTTAAAATTTAACGTACGTACCTTGAAACTAAATTGTACGTGGCTTTATTAAAAATATGTTTGCGTATGTACCTGTATTGTCAACCAACATTGAAATCGTTTTAAAAGAGCTTAAAATGCTCAGATCGTCGGAGCGCCGCGGCCCACGCCGAAGCTCCACCCCTAGACCCCATCCCCTCCCCCAGCTAACTGGTGTAATCACTTACGCATTTCAAATCTCTCAGGTTGAACTTGTTTCACGTTCATGTAATATTCCTTTCAATTTCTTAAATTTACCTACCCTTACTTCTGGACTTACTTATCTTGACTCCCCTTTTTTTTATTGTATTAATGGAGCTACGGTTGTGATTTTGTTTTTGTTTTACCAGAGCCGTAGATAGAGAGAGTTTGGCCAACTTGGCGCATGGACGCCATGTCGTTACCAAACAGCCCAGGCGCATGCGCGCATATAGCTTTAATGTTTTGTTTTGGTGACAACATGGCCGGTGTAAGTCATGTGATTGCGATCCACCCAATCACACGCGCGTATATCGAATCCCGTGAAATAGAGTTGGCCAAACTCTCTCTATCTACGGCTCTGTGTTAAACCATATCGTTGTTTTGTATAGAGTTCATGCTGCTAAATATAGATTTATTATTAGATTACCAACGATATTTAGTTCTGTCATTCAATGTCCGTCTATTGATAATTTATTTTAATTCTTTTAAAACGATTAAACGTAAAATTAATCTATGTATCTAGTTATTTGGATTGTTTGTTTTGTAACTGATTTCCTTGATTGTATCGTTGGTGGGCTCCTCGCTGTTGCATGCGAATTGAAATAAAATCATAATTAAAACTAGAGATACTATGTTCAATAGAACATGAACCCAGTCATTTTTCAGGATTTGACACTAAGGTGACCACTGTGACCTTTAACCTCAGGCTGTGAGCACCCCATACAATTGGTCCAATCGTTAGTCGCTAGCAATATTTGATAATTTTCACCAAAATTACCCCTGTGACTTTTGACATATAGGCCTAGGCGAAAAGTATTTTTTGCATGTTTATAAGGTCCTAAGGATCATTCCTGGTAAATTCGAGCTCAATTGGGCTATTTTGAAAATTTGACCCCGATGACCCCTATGTAACCCCTGATCACAGACTGGGGTGTAAGAAGTGTCACTGGTTCTTAATGATCAAATTTGATTGAATTCCGTTCAATCGTTGCAATTAGTAACATTTTGAACCTTCGACCTATGAACTTTGTCACTCGTAGCCTTTGAAAATGTTGCCAGAAAGAAAGAAAGAAAGAAACTGCTCAGAAACAGAACCCAGTCAGCATGCTGCTGACTGGGTAAAAATCACGGAGACCTTAAACAATTCTGATCTATTTTTTTTTACTCGACTATTTCTGCCACTAAGTGAAAGTATATCTGTGAATTCGTTTCATAACTTTTTTCTTTATTATAGGCCTATATAAACATTCATTTATTCATCGTATTTTGTCTGTGAGGAATTTCGTTGCTTCATTAATTTAACATGTATACAGATAGATTCAGACGTCGATGATTTCCTTGTTGCTAATTGCAGCCTATTAATTATGTACATTTGAATGTTGAATGAATGGTTCCACCTACTTCAGAAACCAAGTCCAGCGTTAAATGTCATTCATTCGTCTATCGATCATAACCTACATCTTGTTTGCCCTGTACTTAAATAACTCTATATATATTGTAATAAAACCAAGGGCGTCGATCCGTGGTTAAAAGTGGGAGAACGAAATGAAAAATAAAGCCTTGGTTTTGGGACCAGGGGGCGAAGCACCCGGAAGCTCTGGCGCCTATAGCATTTTAAATGATTTTAAGCAATGCAATTAACATTTATTTCCATGCGAAATTTTCAAAATATCCAGTGGCAGTTCCAGTAATTTAAAATAGATCTGGGCCCAGAGAGGGATTTTCACAGATGGAGAGTGCACACGAGCCATTGTATACACTAGGCCAACGGTTTATAGTCCTTATCCGAGAAGACTTGTTCTACCAACAGAACCATAGGCGAGCGTGCCGTTCGAACCAGTGCCGATATTATGGCTATAGATTGCGGCGCCCTGCTAACCGCTCGGCCATTCGACTCATCAAAGGCTGTATAATTATTATTTAATAATGGCTATATAAAATTCAATTGACTAACTATATTTTGAAATTAGGAAAAACAGTAATCCTATATGTATGTAGATAATATTAAACACTATTATATACGTACGGGTCATAATAATATACAAAAGGAATAAATCGTTTATAGTAGAAATTGTGCACTTTGAGTTTGTAAAAATAATGGCCTAATAAGCATACACGCTTCCAAATTTAACAACGTTCAGTACATTGTTTTCACAATAAATTTAGCCTCTGATAACCGCTGCACCCATAAAATCGATCTAGTGGTTTCTGAGATGGTTACAAAATGTACAATTGCGTTTTTACTCGGTTTTTGTCCGCAAAATACTTACCGCTCTTGGAAAACTGAACAGACAAAATTCATGAGTCATGCGTAATTGTTATTCTTTCAATTCGATTTTAAAGAGGGGTTTTAATTATAGAAGATTTGTGAAAAGTGGGGGTCAACCGATATAATGTCCCCCCCCCCCTACTTTGAAAAGTGGGGGGCGTGCCCACCAATCAACGCCCATGAATAAAACACATCTGTAGGTCTTGTAGGTCTATCCAAACAAGGTACAACGATCCGCTCGAGTTGGCATAATTAACATTTTAAAATCTGCATCTTATTTCCGATCATCACCAAATTTAAGGAGCACCACAATACATGTAACATTTTCAATGTGTAAAAAATTGAAGTAAATTGGTCTAGTATTTTTTTAGTTATGAGCCCGGAAGAACACAGACGAGCGCTATTGCAATACCCTCTCTCCTTCGGAGAGTGGAGGGTGACGAGCATTATTATACCATGATTTTACAGGTGATTGTACATGTACCGTACTACCCGTCGGATTTAGTTGAATAGCGCCAGCAACATTATGTAATTAACAATGCAAAGCCGCTGAACCTTGGAAACAATTCAAAGCCCAATGTCAATAAAGTTGCTTAGTTGAACGCAATGCAAAACCATTGTTTCTTGCACTTCTATAGTAACAGTTGATTCATTATTTACACTTCGTCAGAGAAGCACGGATAAAAGAAAAGCACCTTGGGTAAGCTGACCCCAACCTCTGCATTTCTATTTACACTTTTGTGCTAAAACGGAAAAACATGACAGATGATAAAGATGGGTCAGTTGAAGAAAAGTTCGCTACCACTACGACCCTCCACGGGGTACAGTATATCGCCACAAGTAAATTTGTCTTTGTGAAGCTTCTCTGGCTCCTTATATTCTTCGGAGGTGTCGGCGTATGTTCTTGGCAAATAGTCTTGCGTATTACTGAATACAGGGAGTTCAATGTCATCACCGAGATAAACTTAACGTTTGAATCTGAAATGGATTTTCCAGCAGTAACAATATGCAACTTCAACAGGTAAATTTTCAGTTCTGCGCCTACTTTCATTAAATTTATATTTAATAAATTTTATTTGAATAAATATCGTTTACATTTCTCCATTGCCTATGCACAATATGTTCTAGGTTTTCATCAGTACACAGTTGTTTCGAATACATTTCCCTTTCATGGTATGAGGTGTTTCTGAATTGTAAGTCTTAATAATACCCCCACAGCCCAAAAGAATCATTGTTCTAGTCAGGGCCGCCGGAACGTTTTTCAAAGTGGAGAGGTGGTGGGGGGTGCACTAGTCAGATGAATGGGATTGTGAATCAGGGGGAATCTAGGTTCAAATTTAGGGGGTGGGATCAACATTTTTCCTAACAAAACCCAAAAAGGAAGGGGATCCGGTGGTCCTCCCCCGTGAAAATGTTGATTCCTAGAAGGCGGAATGAGTTTTCAAATTTCTGAAGTGTCTTTTAATGAAGTTCTTCAAAATTCAAAGTTTTCCCCTCTTGAAAACGATTCAATGAATTAATGAACCCAAAGAGAAAGGGGGTTCGGATTTATAATTTTCTTATTGTAACCAGAAAAAAACAAAACAAAAACAAAACAAAAAAATAGCTCACGGGTCTTGAAAATGTAGGTCTAGAATTCTTTTTTTTTTCGCCCAAGAGAGGGGGGTCAGGACACCTAACCCCCTCAGGACCCCTAACCCCCCCCCCCCCCACTGATCCGCCAATGGGAATTGCGAGAAAATTGACCTTGGTCTGGGACTGGACTGGATAAATACTCCTATTCCCCTCCCTCTCCTCCTTCTTCCTTCTTTCTTTTCTTGCATTTCTTTCCGATCATACAAAAATCTCCATAGACATTATATATTTTTTTTCTCAAAAAGTATGGGGGTGGGGACAGGCCCATTCGGTTCCGCTGGCCATGCTAGTTGTCGTGGAGGGGCTGAACAGGTAATTTCAAATTTTTAAAAATAATGAGGGTGAGCCCATCCCCATTTTATTTTACAAAAACACACACCAACTTGCTACTTTTAAACTAAATTTAGCTTTATTTCTGTAATGCATAAGAAGACAAACTCAATTTGGTTCCGGTTGCATGCACCTTTACATACCAAAATACAGATTGCTCTAAAACTACAAGTACATACAATCAGAGATGATTCGACAGTAGGTAATCAAAGGAAAGTACGACATATTGCAACAGTTTCAATAAAAATGGTTAATCCACTATATTTTAAGAAGGTATGCATTAATCCTAATTAATTATAATATTCAATATAATAAAAATCTAGAGGAACTTATTATTGTTTTGGATTGGATTGGATTATTATTATTATTATTATTATTATTATTATTATTATTATTATTATTATTATTACTATTATTATTATTATTATTATTATTATTATTATTATTATTATTATTATTATTATTATTATTATTATTATTTCGATCATATACTCATATTAACATGGTCTATTTAGTTAAACATAGATTCAGGTATTTTAAGTTGTAATTTTCATTCATTCGTTCAATATTTATTAGCCATCCATACAAAGAAGCGAAGCTCCGAAAGGTTATTTTTTATCTGTGTTCTTGTCGTTGCCATTGTTGTCGTTGTCGTGTCGTAGTTGACGTCGCTGTCGTTGTTGGTCATTTGATTGTTATCACGATAACTAAAGTTTGGTAGGTCCGAAAGTGACCATCCAGCAGTCAGTAGGCGCGCGCCTACGACGTCATACTACGAGCGCTAAACTAGTCAAAGAGATAATAAAGGCGGAGAATCAATATAATGTATTAAGATATGAACATGCTGTTGTTTGGATTTTAAACTATCTGCGCGAACTGTTATTTAATCACACAGTAGTTTTCTTCTAGAATTTCACTCATATCTTTACATCGTACGGAAATTGTTACACTTTTAATTCTGGTGAAGGGGACACAATTCTAGAGGTAAAACAACCAGGTGCCGGCAATGGTTTACAGATGATGATTGACATCCAACAGGTAGGAGGTATTTTATGTATACCAAAAGCTTAAGTTTTCCTATACAGTATACCGGTACATTTTTTTCCAAACCTTTTTTTTTTTCTTTTTCCTTTCATTTCACTTTCTTTTTATTTCATTTCATTTTTGTCTTTTGATTAAGCCTAGGCCTTTGGTTTTTAGTAATATTAGTATGTTAATAAGTTAATTACGGAATAACGTCGCACACGTCCAATTATTATTGTTGGTGCCAATGATATCAATAATTACATCTCTCAAATTCGCAATCAAATTGAGGAGGGTACGATGTTGTGTGTTTGCGCACTGGAGTTAACGCTTAGACTATCTGTCAATCGATCGAGTAGACTGTAATGTTGATGGGACAGTTAATTAGATTTGATCTGTAGATTTTCATTTAATTATAATACACGTATAGCGTTCTTTGACCGGTTGAGGTGACCGGAATAAAAGATGAATAAATGATTGTGAAATTCGTTAATGGTGTTGTATTATAAGTCTATCGTAGATTTAATTGTTTTTTGCAGTTCGTGTTTATGAAATACCGGTATAGTTTATCAACTTGTTTTCACGTACTACATAGATTTCAGTCATTGCTAAAAGCCTCCGACGCAGTGATAATTCGCTGATCGTTTTTATCATTCAGAGCTTATCGTCGTGGAAGACAATCACTATTTTATGGAACTTTGCATTCTGTTTTTTTTTTTTGTTTTTTTTTTTTTGTTTTTTTTTGCAGCATCAACATCTTTAACAAAACAATGTTTACGCTTATTCTTTTATCCCTATTTTATTCCTTCCAGCATTTAATATAGTACAAATACTAGGAAAAAGAAAGACAGAGGCTGGGGAGGGGCAAAAGATTATTAGACATTTAACGGAAAGGGTGTGCCCCTCCAACTCTGACTTCCATAACATTAAACATTAATTTAAAAAAATATATATAAGATAATTGTTTAAAAAAATTAAATACATAGTAATCAATTGGACAATAGCAAAATTGACAGTTAAAAAGATTCAAAATGTGAATTAATGAAAAAGTATAAAAATCACAATAATTGCACTTTTAAAGGCTAAATATAAAAATGTTAATTACAAAAAATAAGTAAAAGAAATAAAAAGTTACATTTTTAAATGTAACTTTTAAAACCATTAAACATGGTTTAAAACCATTAATGGTTAAAAACATTAAACATCAATATAAATTAGCAATAAAAAATATATATAGGATTGCTATTATATACAATTTTAAATACAAAATTATTGATTTATAAACATATTGCAAAAGACATTAAATTACATTAATTTATTAAAAAGAATTATCTACAACATATTGCACTCCAAGCCAAAACAATTTTCAATTCCATCTGTTCTGGCAATTAGATTTCGGATCATAACAATTATTGGATCGTCTTATTATTCATATTTTTTTTTTACTCTAAGTATCGAAATACACGCCATAACTTAATTACTTCTGAGAGAAATAATTTTCATTAAACATTGATTATGCTCTTGTTGTCAATTCAATAGAAAATATCCGTAATTGATGTTACCTGGGTGAATACATTGAGAGTATTGACGACAATAACAAATACCAGTAATTGAAGTGACTTTTATGTATTTTGAAGGATGAATACACCGAGACTATGGTCGGGAATATTGAAGCAGGTTTGAAGATATTGGTCCACGATCAAGATGAACCACCCCTCATAGAATCCAAAGGAATTTCCATCCCTCCTGGATTCCATGCCTTCGCTTCATCCAGACGCATACTGGTAAGTAGTTAGGTTACAAAAAAAGGGTTAAAGGCTAAATGATGTACTTATACAAGTTGTATAACTTTGTCGTATTGCCCCTTTCCTTTCTCGTTCACACAATTTAGGCCGACATAATTATTTATTTTACAATTAATTTCATTTAGGCATAAGATATTTTGAAAATAAATGAATCTTGTGTATAATTGTATAGGCTGCTCGTCATATATATTATCAATCAATAGTAATAATAGGCATAATGATAATGATGGTCACAATGATGATGATGATGATGATGATGATGATGATGATGATGATGATGATGATGATGATGATGATGATGATGACGACGACGATAATAATGATGGTAAAGCCTATGTATTGTTACCAATGTGTCATTAATTCCCTCAACTTACAGTAAATTTTAGATCAGTGGTTCTCAATCATAGGGGTCCACCAAATCAAAAGGTCCACAGGGGGTCCTCGAAAAATGTGGGGTCCGCGAAAAAAGTTGGGTTTCCACTAGATTTTTAGACCAATTTTCGTGATTCCATTATTTTTCTTGTCTTACAACAGTGTGATAAACATCTTGCTTATAAAAATGCCTTTTCAATAATGAAATAACTTTGACATGGGCATGATTTCGTTCAGTGTAAATTGTTTTAACTGGCATTATATTTTAATTCCAATATTTTATTGGTGATCTGATAGAATCGTATATATTTATTGTTTTTTTTTTTTATATATATGTATGCTTAATGTAAAGATGTTTAGTATAGGTAAGCGGAGATCAAGAGCCTAAATTGTGCATTCACATTTTTAAGTCTTTACACACTAAGCACACCTTGTTTTTTCGCTTGCTTAATTCATTAGTAAACCTATTTTGTTGGTGTGCACTTGCAAATTTACTGCGGTCACCTTCATATTCAAGATGGCGTCCAAGATGGCCGCCATAAAAATGTTCAAACATATTTTCATGTGTTACTTTTGAAATAGAAATTCAAATTTGTTGTAACTAGTGTCATCTGAAAGAGAATTAAATTGTCTTTCTAAAAAAAAATCATAATTGTATTATAAACTAAGGAATCCCGCTTTTCCAAGGGCCTTTACACTGGAACGCAGTCAGAGTCTGCCTAGCTTATGGTTTATGATATATTAATTCTATATTAACTGTCTTTGTAAAAAATGTCATATTGTTTTTTAAAAAAATACAGTTTGGTAAAAATTTATGCTAAAATTATAAAATGTGATTTCCAATGGCCTTTGGTAAGGCATGAAGCCATCTAGATATTTTATTCATAATTACTCAGAAACTCACTTTATATAACAAGAAAATAATTTTAAAAATTTCAAGGTAGTGCACATAACAGAAAAAAAGTTATGGATTCTAGAATGTGGTAACCTTCAAATCATATAATTTAGCTATTTGTGAAGGCCTAAAACTTACTATGGTCACTAAATGTCTCCATACATAATTCAGCTTTCTGATTTGTTTAAAGTTTTACCAAATATTTTTGCCGACATTTTTATGAAATTAGAATTGTTACAATTTTACTACTCCTAGCCTCCTAGAACCTGCATAGTGTGTAATCTAAAAGAATGGGAACACAGATTGACTGTGCATAATCAATATTATTTTACATACATACTCATTCTTTTATTCCACCATTGAAATATTTGAGGGGAATTAAGCTTGCTGATACTCTTTGATAAGTAATAGCCAGTTACTACATATTGAATGTAGTTTCATTGCTATGATCATTCTAATAAATTGTAGAGTGAATCATATTGGCTGAAGAAATAATGAATCATATATTTCTACCAACACTGAAGTGACCGTAATACGACAGAAAGTGAAGATGAAGATGTAGTATTATTATTCACTTAAATATTTCAATATGGCCTGGTTGAATTCATGGTTTTTCTAAATCATCAATACACCCTATAGTGTCTCAGAAAAAAAAAATCTCCATCCCATTTTTTTTAGAGCACTTTGATGTTTTAGCCTAAAAGACCCTCCTTTGGACTAATTAAGATGGGGGTAGGATAAATAAATTTTATGTTTTTAGTCACTTTTACATATTATTTTAGATATAAAATGTTACAAGAACTTGGATTAAATAGTTAGGCCTACTCTTCACTCTTAGTGATCATAGTAAGTTTTAGGCTTTCACAAATAGCCAAATTATATGGTTATACCAAATTCTGGAAAACCACTGTTTTAGATCACCAAGTAAGCCCCCGTCCCTTTGATATTATTGCTAAGATCCAAAACGAGAGTGTAAAGGCATATGCAAACACCTGCGCTTGTGAGACAAAAAGTACTTTTGTTTGTGTGAGGCACGCGCGTATTTCTCGCCCTGTTCTCTTATTGGTCAGTTGTTAAGTTTGCTTGACACTCCGGAACGGTCCATTTTCCAGCTTAGTCATACTGTTTGTTATTCTGTTATTATTACGATATTGTTATTACTTGTCTATTTTTTAAGGTATCAAATCTGGACCCTCCTCACGGAGAGTGCGACACATTTCGCACCCTTACGTACTATGACGTGTACACCTTATCTGGCTGTTACATAGAGTGTCGACTGAGCAGGATCCTGAGCGAATGTGGATGCCGACCAATCCGGTAAGCGTCATGTAGAATTTTAAAATAATAGAGGGATTTGGCGATGGGCGTCGCATGACCTAGGGTGGTGGATACAGAGGTGTTTTACACGGAGATTGCTATGGCGATCGTCCTTTGTTATTGCTGTAAGATCATCATAATTTCCAGTAAACTATACCAAATTGATTGGAAATTAAACTTAAGGATTTTGCATTAGTTTGCTAATTCTGTAAGGAATACTAGCCGCATTGAGATTTTTCGACAAATGTTAGGCCTGCGGCCTCTGCACATCTCCGGCAGGTATGCATGATGGTCTTCGACAAAGGGCCAGCTATAGGCTTATGAAGGATCACTTTACTTTCAAAGAATACAATCCAAGGAGAACGCTAGAATAAATAAATAAACACTATTTCGAACAATCGTATTGCCTTTCCTAGCTATTTACTTCTCACGTTAACAGTGGGTGTTTGTTCTCACAACCATAACATATATTTTCCTATGCTATCGCTCCGTAATGTTTTTCATGTATACCCAAGCTAGGTCACGTGACCACATCTAAACAATCATCGCCAAATGCCTCTACAGCATTTGGGAATATCCTTTATCTTCATCCTCTTCCTCCTCATTCTCTCCGACATAGGAATGACCTCGTAAACTGCATTTCGTTTAAATCCCAATATTTTATTGGTGATCTGATAGAATTTGTTACATTTGTTTTTGTTTTTTTTTGTTTTTGTTTTTTTTTTTGTTTGTTTTTTTTTTTATGTATGGTTTATGTAAAGATATTTAGTATAGGAGAGCCACTTGATAGTGGGAATCTCATGTAGTGTACATCTTGTTTGCATGTTTTCTCTATTATTGCTTTTCCCTGATTAAATAAATCAATATTGAAACACGCAATAACAATGTACCGGTATATATTATATGTGTATGCAATGTATATAATACACCAATAAATATAGGAGGTAATTTGAACTCGGGCGTACACAAATCGAGCGGTTCTAATGTAAGGAGAGGGTGTAGCACATTGCTGCTTTCAAAGACGCCAACAGCGCATAGGGTTAAAACAGAAGGAAAACTATCAAATCAATGGCATATTTTTTCATTCAGCTCATCGATGTTGGCGCCGAGATTTGCTCTACGAATAGGGGTAAATGTCCTTGATGGTAGGGCAAGTGGGCGAGGCCAAACCGTTAATGCCACCCTGGTACTCCCCGGTGTTCAGCTGGTGGGAAAAGCCCTCAAAAGCTTAAACAATTTACAATTTTGAAATGTAGGCCTAATCGAATTTGGGTCTCACTAGGCCTATTTTATTTATTTATTTATTATTTATTCGACTTCACACGGGCAAAAATACAATAAAATATCAATGACATAAAAGATTTCCGGTGACGAGAAAAGGCCACAGGTGAACAAATCATACCTCTAGAATAGCGGCCGATCCCGATGGGTGTTGACTGGGGTGTCGACAAACTGCGAGTCAGCGAGACATGCGATTCATGTAAATCATCTACCCTCGTGACCCCGTCAACTGCAATGCATGCGTGGCAGGACGAAATATAACTGCTAGTTCTATTGTACCAAAAGTGCGAGGCACCTTAGAAACATGTTAAATCTGTAAAAGTGACAATGACAATATTTTAATATAAATTATGATATTCATATGGCCTTCTCATTGAGTAATACCTACTAAAATCAAATCAAGCCTATTAACTCTAGGCTTGTTTGGTTGACGTGTATGCTCTGACGAGTGTGCGAGATGCCTTGCGACTGTCAAACAATAGTGCGATTATGTCATCTTATCATTAGCCAATCAGAGCGCTTTATATGTCTCCCTATGCTTGGCTCTTCACGAAAAACAATTCGCGGCAAAAATTCCCGGTCATATCGCTGAAAGAATCTAAAAGGAGTCGCAATGAGGCCTTCACCAACCTCGAAACCAACAGGAAAAGAAGAGGGCGTCCGGCGAAGAGGAGGGTTGAATTCTGAATAGAAGAGTCGTACACACCTGCATGTTTAATTACGTCTGATAAATAATTTATGTTATTGTTCTTAAACTTATTATGATATATTAATAAATAAATAATAATTAAATGAATAGAATATTAAAATAGTATGGGGTTATTATTCTGTGCTTTTGAGGATCACCATAACCGCAACTTGTGAAACATTATCTGTACAAACTCAATGAATATGTGCCACACATAGCTCCATCATCCTCTCCCATCATTTCACCACACACTGAGTGCATTGATTTGATTGGCAAAATGACGAAAAGAGTCGCTGAAGTCCGTTGTGATTTATGAAAGTAAAGGTAATTTATTGTTTATACAATATAATTATAATATTTATATATTTTTGACAAGGCCTCTGCATACGTAATATAATACGTAATATAATACTTAATATAATATAATTTCAAATTATAAAATAGTTCATTCTTTTTAATTCAAGAGAAACATACAGTATTTATATTTGATCTTTATTTTAATAATAAAAAAAAGTAAAAGTGATGTAATGATAATTTTGGTATTTTCTAATTATTATGAACATCTTAGTTATTGTTTACAATCAGGCGCGTCAGAAGCAATTTTTATTGCTCTGCCAGATGCAACGATTCCCACCACCCCACCCCCATTCTAACTCACACTGGACCGTGGTGGGGCATGGGGGTCCGGATGGAAAACCTTTTTTAATAAACTATTTCTTACGGGGCATAATATTCTTGCAGGTATTACGCAAGAATACATTACATAAGAAGATATTTCTACTGACCTATAAAGGGCACAGACAGGCCCTTAGGTTTGAGAAATCACTCATAAAAATAGATCATTTCAAGGTTTCTTTATTGCAGTTTTGCAGTCTCCCCAGAGACTTCCATATCGCTGATGAATGGAATGTAAACTGATCATTGTGAGCGTGACAGATTGTTATGGCCTGTAATTAAATAACAACAATAATATTATTATTGTTGTTATGTAGAAGATTGTTATTACGGAGAAGCATCTCGTTAAACAGGATGCTTCTTCGTTCATTAAATAAATACGGTACACAAGTAGGCCTTGTTTATAAACATGTTTATAAACACGAATTACCGGATATAATATATATATATATATATATATATATATATATAGGCCCTATTATATACAATGAAATAAAATATATGTTCGGATTGCACAAGGTACGGTATAATATCTTTTATAATAATTATGCTTCTTCGTTCATTAAATAAATACGGTACACAAGTAGGTCTTCAATAGTTATGCAATACAATATTAAAAACAATGTCATGTTTATATACACGAGTTACAGGATATAATCTGCATTATAAAAATGTATATTTTTAATGCTCTGGATGAGGTGTATCATTACGAATGCTTTCAAGTTGCCTAAAAATATGTTTGTGGTTGTCTTTACTGAATTATTTCTTAACAGTTTTAATTAATCAGTAATTTTTGCTTTAAGGTGCAGTCAAATAACACACCAGATGATAAACTTCATATTAAAAACAGATGTTTTAATATACAATGTTAGTTTCGATTCAAATTATTTCACAAAAATACATTCATATTTACATGTATGAATTACAATAGAAAATTAGTAGTAGGCCTGTCTAAAACAATGAATGAAAATATCAAAATGAGACGCAAGGAATTACATTGGAATAATAATAATTAATTCTTAACAAAAAAATAATAATCTAGGCTTGAAAAAACTTAAATAAATGAGATATGAAAACTTTTGATTATTTTTTTTTAAATAATAAGCATTATACAGTCATTATACTTCATTAAATATATTATATCCATTCAGGTAAAAAAAAACATATAATTAAGACAGCTTAGGGTGGGTATTACTACATTTAGACGAGGTTGACTGGTTTGTTTGTTGTTTAAATTCAGGTCATTTAATTTTGTAAACAAAAAATAAATTGCGTTAGAAAAAGTACAATTTGGATTACAAACGATATTGAGTAAATTATTGGTCCGGCCAAAACCGGGCCAGCCGGACCGCTTTCGACGCCCTTGTACAAACCTAAATATACAGTATACATATATATAATATACTTTTTTTCCTTAACGTATGAGAAGTTTTGGAGAGTCGAATGGCAAGCGGTTAAGGCAGGGGAGCCACAACCTACAGCCATAATACCGGCACTGTTTCGAACGGCACGATCGCCTATGGTTCTGGAGGTGGAACAATCTTCTCGGATAACTTGACTAACCGTAAGCCCTGTGTATACACAATTGGCTCATGCGCCCTTTAAAGAACCCAGTACATCTTTAGAGACGAGTAGGGTTTTACCCCGGTGTAGTGGTCCATAAAGCCGCTGTTGCCTTGTGATGGGATTGTTACTTTGAAGAGTGATTATGTGTAAAGTTTGCCATATCCTTGGCACTAGTGCCTAAAGCTGAAAAATAAATTTAAGAAAAAAGAAGTACAGTATCGTAATTGGATAAGATAAGGGCAGGCATAACAGACCAGTAGCGTTGGGAGGAGTGGTGGGTGAGGGGTTAAGGGGGTTAAGACGAACTGCCCAAAAACTGGAGAAGGTCCGCATTTAAAAACGAAAAATTGATATTCGTAGATATATTGCAATGTTCTCCAGAGTATCGGAGATCATACAAGCCAGAAGTACTTCAAGTCGGCATTTCTTAAGCTTTCCCAGCTAACAATATTACGTTATTGTATAATGGTTTCCAAAGGGTCCACTTTCTACTGAAACGAACCTCCTCCCACAAATTAAGTCACGCTACGTGCCTGCGTAATTTGGTGTTTTTTGTGGTATACATGTGAAAATTGCATTCCTTTTAAATCAATAAAAAAAAAAGGCTATACTAAACAAGGACAGCATCTAGAACTTTTTTATGATTTGATTTGCTAATCATACTTTTGTTTTCATATAAAATATGAATTTTATATGTAAAATATATAAATTAATTACACTAATTATAATATACTGCATTTATTCAAATAATCATCTCGGGGCGTTTATTGTTCAGATGGTTTTGAAGAGCCAGCGTTTACTGGTAAATGTAGTCTATTGTGCATAATTAATGTTAAGTGTTTTGGCACGGCTTTTAAATCACTAATTAGTATTGATTCAATTCCACTAGGGTAAAACATCAATTGATAATAACCCAATGCTGAAAATGATGTTACTTCCCATTCGTCCGTCCATAGTTTCTTATAGAGACAATTGGAAGAAAAATTAAACGTCTAAGCGTTTATTCCAAATGAATTTTTTTTTTGGTGGGGGAGGGTGCGTTTATTCGGGTGTGGGGCGTTTGTTCAAAGTGGAGCATTGATTTGAATAAATACTGTGTAATTAATAATTGTTTTTTAAAACATGATGGATTACAAGATGTTAGCCCATATATTAATTATTATTGGTCTTTTATGCATTTTAAATTATGACGTTTACTCTTTCAATCAATTGTGTTTTGTTTCATGTTTTTTAATTATCTTAGCTAGTTATGTTTATTTTGTGAAAAATAAATATGGTTCTCTCTCCATGCATGAGGCGAATGGGCAGAGTGTGAGTGAAAATAAATATTACATAGCCAGTCATTAATTATAGGCCTATTTGAAGTCACGTCTGGATAGCTGGAAATTGTCTTTTTAACATCAAAATGATTATGTTAAAAGTAGTTAATTCATTATTGTAATTGTTTTATAAATTGTACAAGTGTTCATATAGCGTAGAATTTTGTGTGTCTCGGATGATATGACTCGCACTGTTGGTACACGTCCTGTATAAATTACCGTAATGGCTCGCATGAATTGCATGCCTCGCTGGATGGCTCGCAGATTCGCTGGATCGCACTTTGGCAACCCTCGATCTCGATCTATTACTACTACCTTGCCTGAAAGTTAACACCTGTATGAGATCCTATCAGAAAAATTCAATTGACATAGCAAGCATGGAGTACAAAATCATTTAATTTTATATACTGTAATGGCCAACGACTCCACAAAACATTTTGGTGTCCCATATACCAAGGCATTTATTATGTGTTTGATTCAAGAGCTGTAGGGTATTTAATAATGTGAAGAGCATAGAAGCCTTCTTGGCATGATGCGCTATACAATACTAAATATTATTATTATTATTATTATTATTATTATTATTATTATTATTATTATTATTATTATTATTATTATTATTATTATTTATTATTATTATTATTATTATTATTATTATTTATTATTATTATTATTATTATTATTACACACTTGACTATATCGGACACACAGTGAGAGTTAATACTGTACTATTATTAGTGACACTATCAAATATATTTGGTTAACATAAACAAGATCGGAGTACTAAATATTCCATAGCATTTCCATAAACGTCCGACAACCCTACCAAATATTTTGTTTGCCGATCTTAGTATTCGGTGATTTTTACAAAATCTATACGTGACTCTCCATGTGTGAACATTTTATTTTTTTTTCGCTATGTGTACCGTTTTCCCATATTGTTTTCAATTTTCCGAGCACTCCCTCTTCATTGGCGCGTTCGATTGCAATGAATCCCCTTGTATCTACTTCATGTAATAGTATATACAATATCATCTGATATCCACATATCAGATGAAAGGATCCATTTAAGTGTGTTATAATAATTACACTCTAGATTATTTACCCACCATCACAACTAATGGGGATATTGTCTTATTTTCAGATACCCTGGCAATGCAACTGAGTGTACACCTAAGCAAACGACAGGCTGTGCAAAGGATGTTCTATGTAAGTGTACTAGTTCGAAGCTACTTGAAACCAATAAAGATTTTATATTATTTTTTACCTTCCGAAGTTTTTGATCAAAAAATACAAATATTTTTATTTTGTGAAGGTATAATTGGTGCTGATTTGAAGATGCATTTATTTATTCTGACTGTTTAATTAGTATTTCAAAATTATTGATAAAAATGAATTTGGCCCTAGAGGGAGTGCCTAAAAAATTTATTAAAACCATTTTTTTTTTCTATTTTAAAAATTTCACAAAACTATATAACCACTTATTTAGGAAAAAAAATGATGTTACTAAATATATATAATAATAATTATAAACTATTATTCTCTTGATGAACACTAAAACAATTTAATTTAAAAAAAGTCGAGACACTCTCATCTAGACACTCTCAACGAAAATAAAATTCATTTCAGAACTATAAGAAAGAAAGAAAATATTATTATTGATATTAATGTTATTCGCCATGCAAACCTTGAAATATTGTGATTGTTCATGAGAATGCAGCAAAACATTGTTATTGTTAATGTGTTGTTTTGAACATTTTAGCAAGAATGAAGAACGGGAGCTTGGAAGCGTGTGACTGCCCAGTTCCGTGTGCATACACATCGTTCGATACGTCTGTTAACTACGCCCTCATCCCCAGTGAAAGCGTTTCAGGAGAAATGACAACAAAATACAATGTCTCGGAATCGTATATCGCGTAAGTGGTATAGACGACCAGTCAGCCAGCCCTGTGTAAACAACGTTTATTCGACAAAAAAAGTGTTGTATGCTCATATAAAGTCATGATGTGCCTATATATAGTTATGGTCATGATGTGATGTCATCATAACCATATTTAGGCATGACACGTGCTTTTTTAAAACTTGTTTTCTGTTGGGTATTATGAATTGACCTTTCCGCTAAGCCCCGCCCATTGGATTTTGTTGCTAAGTTCCCACAAGACGACAATGCTAAAACATACGCAAACACGTGCGTTTGTGGGACAACACGTGTGTTTGTGAGACGCGCGCGTATTCCTAGCGTTGTTCTGATTAGTCAGTTGTTAAGTTTGATTGACACTCCGGAAAGGTCTATTGTGCTCTGCATCGCTCTTTGGAAGCTTTCATCACTTATAAGGACAGCAAAATGTCTTAGGAGGACGTATTTCGATTGAAATATTTTATATGCTTTTTTTTTTCTTTCTTTTTTATAGAACCATAATTTATATAGCGCCTTTCACAATTCGCAGATTTTGCAAGTAATAGTAGTAGTAAAGCTTTATTTATTCACGAAAGCATAACTCAACAAGCGACTATACAAGGCGCTGGCATCATTATTTCCCTGGACACTGGATACTGAATTAGCAGATCCGCACATTGTGCAACAGTCTCTGCTCCCTGGGGAGTATCCCTGGCCATTGCTGCTTAAATTTCATTGCTCTTTTAATGACTGTAAAAATATGTAACTTTTTATGTACTTTTAAATAAAGGCGTCTGCAGCAATGCTATTACTTTGATATTGTTGTTATTGTTGTTATTATAAATAGGCATATTAAATCATAATTATTTCCGTCATAAGTATTAATAGGCCTACCGTTTATATTTTTAGGGAAAACTTCGTTTTACTAGACGTTTACTATGAAGACCTAAATTTTCAGGCATACAAGCAAAAACCAGCAATGACGTTTTCAGCACTTCTTAGTAAGTTGTATCAAAGGTTATAGAACTGCAAGTGGTCCGACTCTCGGTGTTTCGTTGAAATCTAACTCGAAAAGTACTACCTCAAAAGAATTTAACAGGCGTGGCTGCAAAATAAGATTGGACTTCTTGCAATTCAAACAAGGTTTATATTGTAATGGCTACGCCCTTCCTAATCACTTTCTAAACCAAATTTTATTCATTTAATATAAACTTTCTCCAGTTACGGTAATCTTTTTAAAAGAGAAACTTAAATTACATCTTTTACAAAGGGTTTGGTGTGGTCGGTTTACCATACATTTTAGAGTGGTGTCGTTTTGACTTGCCTGTGGAATCTGTGTGAAGTTCTACACACTAAACCGATACCCGTTGCTTATAACAATGATTGAATCTATCAGTAGGATTTTATTAGTTATAAGTTATAAAATGAGGTTGCCAAAATATTGTAACATTTTACAAAACTTTTAATTTATACTTTTTTTATTCAATAATCATTTATGTAATCATCGTTCACATTATTTTCATTATACATAATTATCAAAGAATCAGCCAAAGTAATAGATTTGTTTCCTTTTGTTGTACAGGTGATGTTGGTGGTCAGTTAGGCCTATTCATTGGCGCAAGTGTATTAACATTCGCCGAGTTAGGTCAATATTTACTACAAAAATTTCACGCCATTTTTCAAAGCAGCAACAGAAGAAGTAGGCTTCGGTCCAGCAATGTGACGCCAATAAGGGAAAACCACAAAATTGGTATAGACAATCAAAGTTTGGAGTTAAGCTGAGAAAATTCCAGATCTTCTTGTCTTTCGTGAGGAGATGCCCACAGTGGCGTAGCTATGGGCAGTGCAGCCAGCGCAAAAATAAAATAAAACGTAAAAGTAATAATTAAAAATAATTTAATATTTTTGAAGAAAAACGGACAGTGGGCTTCTTAATAATATCTAGAGTTTTACAGTAGGAGTAATTGATTACTGTGTTTATCCTCAATTCAGTGGCAATGACAAAGGCTTGGGCCCCCAATGTTTTCAAAATTATTTTTTAAAAAAAGAGGGGGGAAAGAAAATTATATACTTTAAGTCTGAGAGTGCCATATCCGGCCATCTAGACTGGTGTCATAATCATAACTTTTCTCACCTCATCCTTAACCATGGTGAGACTAAGATGATCTACACCCCTCTCCTGTGAAAGTCCCTCCCTGGGCCCCTCAATTTCGAATTCCTGGATCATCGCCACTGCAATTGTTTATTTTATTGCCACCAATTTTCTTGATTATTGCAGATTAGAATAACTGTTAAGACCGCATAGGACTCCTCTTTAAAAAAAAATTACAAAGTTACTGATTATCAGTAGTATTTACCGGTAGTGTATCTGGGCCTATTAGCCTTGGCCATTAGGGATGGAGGTAACACCAGTGTGTGGATTCAAGGGGGGGGAATCCACCCCCCTCCAATTTTTTTTCAATTTATAAAATAAAAAGGGGGAAGAAAGTAAAATATCAATCAAATTAAGAATCTACATTGTGCAGAAAACGTAACACGGTCAAGCATGAGCGAATCCATTCTAGCATCACGTCGTCGCTCAAATTGAAACCTCCCAACTAGGGCATCAAAATGGTGAAGATTAGTAGTCTACGTTTGGTTGGTCACTTTCTGGGTACAAACATGTAGACCTAGACATTCTGAAACTTTGGTTGCTTTGATAATTAGATTACGCTTATGGTGTCCATAAAATTTGTACACACTATCGACCACAGCTTTCGGTACGGTGACGTTGCTTGGAAAAATCGGCAGGCCTTTTCAATTTCTGCATACATAGTAGCGATTTCAGTGAGTTTAGCGATTTTATGGAAACCAGGCTGAAGTTATTCTCCCACTTTACAACTACAGCGCAATGATAGAAAGAAACTGTGTTTGTTTTCGGGTGTAATTAAACTTCGATTTTGGAAAATGAGGAGAAAACACACTCTCTTTCTGTAAATATGCCCCATCCCACCACAGTAGCAATCTTTTATGCTTCCCCTGCTCGCGGACTTGCTTACAGCTTTGTTTAATTTAAAAAGTATCATAAGAAGGAATTTTCACAGAACAAAAATGATAATAACACTGGTGTATTAGGTAATATCACACATTTTGTCACTGCTTTGCACTCACAATTCTTTTGTAATATAAGTTTATTATGAACTGATTTTAATTTTCCCGTATTTCTGATCATTAAACGGTTAAAAAATACACTTAATGTTCATGGTCACAACATTAAAACAAATACTTACTGATACTTATCCATTTTTCCTTGTTGTGACCATATGAACGCAACTATTGGAATATTTTGTAGTAGATTCTTTAGGACATGCCCTAAACATATCTCTACCTGCGGTGTTTAATATCAATTACAATGTCTTCAAATTATTGTGGGCCAAAAAATCGTGCAAATATTTCTGAGGCAACTTTTATGAAATGATGAAAATTGTCCATCTCAGCTTTTGTTTTACGCCAACATACTGAAACACGGTCATTAATATCAATTACAATGTCTTCAAATTATTGTGGGCCAAAAAATCGTGCAAATATATCTGAGGCAACTTTTATGAAATGATGAAAATTGTCCATCTCAGCTTTTGTTTTACGCCAACATACTGAAACGCGGTCATTAATATCAATTACAATGTCTTCAAATTATTGTGGGACAAAAAATCGTGCAAATATTTCTGAGGCAACTTTTATGAAATGATGAAAATTGTCCATCTCAGCTTTTGTTTTACGCCAACATACTGATTCTTAAAGCAGCACAGATTTGACATACTGCAATATATATAAAACTTTTATTTACAAAACTATAGTTTAACTGAATACAATTTACTGTACAGTTTATGTTTAAGTCCTGTGAGCAAACAGTTAACAAATCAAAACTAACACAAATCATACCACTTATTTCTATCTTTTGCGAAATGTCTTACAAAAAATTAAAATCTTCGGAATCAGTTAATTTAATATTTATAGAAACTAAATCGTTTCTAATTGAAAACAGAAGTTTGGTTTGATGTTTGTAAATACGCCCTTTAATACTGTTACTGGTGTGATTTTTTCCATCCTCCTCAAAACATGTCCAAGCATTAACCATATTCTATAACGACCGACTCTTTCTGAGAGTGGACTCGTCTTACAGACTGCATACAGACTTTCATTTTTAATAATTTTCGGCCACTTAATATTCAGTATACTCCTTAGGTGTTTTCTATGACAAAAATTCAGTTTATCAAACACGTGCTTTTGGTACAGACCAACTGCTGCAATTATAGCCTACGGTAAAATAGATACCACTGAAGCATTATAAAGCACAAGTTTAAAATCAAGTGAAATTTTACTTTTGGCCCACATCCTCTTATCATTACATGCTGCAGTCGCAAGCATAATCCTATGATACCATAGGTAGGCCTACTATTTTATAAGGAACCTTTTGTAATCTTCATTCTTCCAATTTAGGTTTATCTTTATCAAGAAAATTATCTCATTTACAAAGAAATTCTAACCTTTCAACACATCGACAGCAATATGCAAAATACTATTAAGCATTTTACAGATTCAGATATAAAATCAATATCATCCGTTTACTCAGATTCCTACAGTAAATGGGTGGGTTTGGTCTAAAATTACATACTGCTCGAATGTGTTATAGGGAACCCTTAAAAGTAATAGTAAATAACAATCCTGATGGGCAATCATCCTTTACTGAAATACAGTTATTGTTGACTGTATTAAAGGTTATGTATTTATACTGCACAGAATACAAGGGTCTCAATTAGCCTGGGTTCCAGGCCCTTATTTTGGGTTACTCAATCTTAGTGCGCCATAACCAATTTATTTGGCGCCCCATACTCCATTTTTTTTTTCGATTTACGGTATTCCGTCTCTAAATTAACTTTCTTGTTGGTGGCGCTGTCCAGAATGAAAAAAATAATAAAATACAAGAGACTTGGAGCAAGTCTAGGGCCTCTATGTACGGAGGTAATTGGGTTGAGTTTTGTGAAGTAATTCCTGGCTTTGCTGATTCTGGCTTGTTGTCTCTCTTGACAAAGCTGCCTAAATATGTAAAGTTGTCAACCTCTTTGACTGCATGCATGTTTAGTAGACAAGAGGACGGTGTCGTCTGTAAAATCAAGATCTAGTTTTGAAAAGTGTCCATTGATGCCTCTTGGTTTATTAGCAGGAGTGTACTGTTCCTTATAACCCAGTCTATAACCACCATGAAAATAAAACAATTTGTATTTTAATCAACAGCCCTAATAATAGTATTTATTATGATAATATTCAAAGCCAGAAGGCTGGTTTTAAGCGTTATCTTATGATGACTGTATAATATTTATAGATAACAGTTAATATTTATATAACAGTTTACTTAACTTATTTTGTCTAATTTAATGTTTAGTTAAGCTAGTGTTTGTTAATGTTTTGCGATGTAATAAAGATGTATTGATTTAAATGTAGTTGTTAGATTTGTATTATTTTTATTGAAGACAAAATTAATGATATATTTATGATATGATACATAATAAAATAGTTTCATGGTATATTTTTTTCTTCGATAACAGTCGGTGTTGATTAAGACATAGTTTTGCAACTTATAGGTCGCGACCAAATATTTGAGTCGCTGAAAAATGTTGATGGGCTGCATAATCTCGTTAGATCGTGAAAATAAGAAAAAATTAAATTAAATTAAAAGAAAATGGAATTTAATTATGGCATGTGCGTCAATTTACTTTTTTAATGCATGTGTTATAGTTTTATGTTGGTTCTTCTGAACCCGCCATTCTTCGCGCGTAGAAAACGACGGACGTGATTTATTGACCCTTCACTCAAACTAAAAAAAAAACACAATATTCAATCAATTTACCATGAATCTCAAGTGAGAAATTTGCCATTGATGATGGTGTCTGAGTGCTTGACATAGGCCTATATTTTTGACTCGTGGGTTAAAAATGGTTGCAGAACGGGATATTAAGGCAGTGGCGTAAAGAATTGTCTGAACGCACGTCAGGTGGATAAATGCAGCGCCCGATGGAAATTAAATTAAATTTATTTAATGTGTTAAATTAAAAAGAACAATTTGGCCCTCCGACCCATTTTTATGCCTACTCATGAAGTAACGTACGTTGTTCAATTACTAATTATAATTATATCTTTAGTCATTGCACTAGGAGGTGTTGCCAGTTTTCAGGCGAATTCACCCCCCTTCCCCCTCCCACCTTTCCGACCCACCCCGAAGAGAAAATCTTGGTGCCACTACTGTCTGGACTTTATATTATGTGTGCGTTAATCGTCGTGTTTAACGCATGCAAAACCAATTTCAGGTCATAATTATACAATGGCATGTTCTATTCTTGATCCCTTTAGAATATATTGATTTTTGTGACCGCCTGGCATACTTAATAAGGAATTAATATATTTGGTCAGCAAAGCTAAACAAGAATGAATTGAGGTTAATGGTAACGAGACGCATTGAATATAATAAATTGAATGAATAACCTTCGAAGACCATTGCATTATTGGATAAGTTTTAACTGAAGAGGAAAATCGGGCTTAGGCGTATTTGAGGGAATTTATCTCCAATTAATTCTAATACAGTATTTGCATAAATTACGTACCTGGCAACGCGTAATTAATATCTGTAAATAAAGTGTGTCATCAGTGTGCGATTAGCTTACACAAAGTAAGTTAATTTAGTTTTAGACTTAAGGCATTCAACATGCAAATTTTATTTTCAGTAGGATGGTGAAGCAAAATCTCATAAATTATCCGTAAGCATCCTTATAGAACATAGTTTGCGCAAGTGATACCCTCAAGTCTGTGTCTACCTGCATTGATCAGCAGATATGTACATGTAAACTATTTCTAACTGGTTTTAGAACCACAGTTGAAGAAAAATGCTGCTCTAGCGTTAAAAAAATAATTGCGCAAGTGGACCTGACCAAATTCCAGGAGAGCATGCAAACGACAATGTTCAATGAAAAATTGCTAATATAATCAACAATTGTTTTAAGACACACTTGAAATGTGTTGGTGAAGAAATAATTACGCCACTTCAAAAAGCAAATAAACCGAAAGGTCCTTGCAAGAGTTTGAGACCATTAACATTGAGTAATTCTATTCGCAAGATTCTTTCATTAGTGACATTTAAACGCATCGAAAAAATAGTCGAAGAGTATGCTGGTTCATGGCAGAGGACGTACAAACAAGGTAGAAGATATTCCGACATTGTTTGGTGTCAGAGAATTTTAACTTCAGTTGTAACACAACGTTCCTTTTTATTTCATATTTGAATTAAAATTAACATGATATCTGCTTTTGATACCATTAACACAAAAACAGTTATTAATTTGTTAGAGGATGCTGGGTGTAATGAAGATAGTCTAGACTAGTTAGATTTTTATTGTCAAACACTGTTTTAAGAGTTAAGATTGGTAACAATGTATCCACACTGCTTTTGAGAGTACTGTTGGCTCTTTTCAGGGTGATTGTTTGTCTGGCCTTCTATTTACTGTTACTTTAGCAGGTGCATTAGTTAAAATGCGTGCTTTCTGCAGTCCATTTCGACCAAATCCACCTATAGCGTATAATTGTATACCATTGGAATGTGAATATGCAGATGACATTGATTTAATAGACGAAGACAAAGACAAATTAGATAAAATGTTAGCTGTAGCTACTAGTACTTTCAGGCAATGGAGTTTGTATATTAATCAAACAAAAACCGAATTTACTCCTTTTTATATTCATTTTCATTTCATTTCTTTAGGCACGAGGGCCGAGGATATGCCAATAAGTGAACTTAATCACTGTCCTACGTGGCATATCCATTTAACAACAGGGGACTTAATGGACCAGTACACCGGGGTAACCCCCTATTGACAAGACAAACGAACATAGGTCCGAAGAGTGGCGTAATCATAAAGTACTTGGGACAATGCTTGATAGTATTTCTGATGTTAAACATCGAATGATTTTATCTACAGTAGCATTCAGTAATTATATGAAAACATGGAACAACAAGAACTAAACTCTATATACTAAATTAAGACTTTATAACGCACTTGTTGTTTCAGTTTTATTATACTCAAATAGTTGGGCACTGCCTGTTAAATGGTAGAAAAAAGTTGAAGCGTTCCACAGAAAACATCTAAGTATAATTTTGAAGATATTTTGGCCTCAAAGAATCAGTAATGTAAAGTAATACATCTTAATTGTCAAAAATGATTGAAAAAAATCACGTTGGATGATGCTAGGTCACATAGTTAGATGAGATGAAAATACATCAGCGTTTACTGCCATGTCATTTGCCCTAGGTAATTTAAAAACATATAAAGGCCTGTTGGTAGACCACAAAGTAACGTACTTAATGTGTATATATGCTGTCATGTATACTGTATATTATTAGCTGTCCATCGAATCCGATGAAGACGTCCGGTGAACCATTGATCTCCATCTGCTTTTGTGTCTGCTGTCGAGCTGCCAGCTAACAACGGGTATATTTGGGTTTTGCACACAGACTTGTACTGTTTGACATTGAACAAGTCTGCTACAGGTCTGTTCTGGATCCATACACCCTTTGCACAGTCCTTGAAGGCATGATTGAGTACGACAGACAGGCATATGGAGAAAAGTGTGGGTGCTAGTACGCAACCTTGTCTTACTCCGTTGTTGACCTCAAAAGCTCTCCCTTTAGTCTTTCCTAGGCCTTCATACCCGTGTGTAGTGCGCTGATAAGGTTGGTAAAATGGGTGGGTCAGCCTATTTTCTTCCACAAAGTTGTCCTATTCACTGTATCGAATGCTTTGGTAAAGTCATGCTTTGGTAAAGTCAACGAAGATCATAGAGAGTGGCATATGAGTGGCATACACATTTCTCATCTATTCGCGACGCCGTCACCCCCACTGTTCTCGTCGGGAACATCGGCCCCTTCGTCAGGTACCTCCCACCGCACCCCGGCAAATCCTGGCACCACCCCTGAGTATAGTCATGCATATTAGATGAGTACAAGCAAATATTACTCCAAATATAAACTACTGCTGCGTTAATTTCATTTCATACTCAGATGAAATGAATGAAAATTATATGTATGAATTAAATACCGTAGTTTTTATATTGTACACATTAAATTAACATACAGTATCAAGAAATATACAGTACATCCACATACATTTAACCGCAAACAACCAATCATTTACGGTATATAATGCACATAATGTTTAGGCCTATATTTCAAATGGACTTGATACATTTCAAACGACGGCTAAGAGTATTGAATGTACGGTATGATAATAGGCCCTATATACCGATTTGTTGTTGATTCAAACAAAATGAATGAAAATATGTTATAACGGAGTTTCCAACCGACATTTAGCCACTTTAGGCCCATTGCATTGGAAATGTAGTTTGTTTTTAAGGACTGAAAGCAAAAAAAAGAAAAGAAAAAAGAAACAGACACAAAATTTACACGATCGCACATTTATTTATTGCATTTTGATAAGAATCAAGAACTATACGTATATATTCTGTTGTGATTGAATTGTTTCCTATATAGATATTTGTCGTAAACACAATTATTCTAATTTATAATAAATCCCATCTTGAGAGGAGGATGAAACTTTAATTCCATGTTACCTTCAGTGTTGAAGTTAATGGTTGCTTGATACTAGTTATTTTAAGTTCCTGTAAAAAAAATTAAAAATTAAAAAATTAATAAGGACAACGATTATCTACATCGTAATTGTTATGATTGATAAAAGAGGTGTTAGTAATTGGAGAATAATAACTTCCGGAAAATTCGAACCTTTGTAATAATAGTAGGTACCGGTATAACAATGGATAACAATAATTATAATTATTACCTAATTTTTCGTTCAATTTAGACAATTAAGGCTTTATTTTAAAGTGTTTTGGTTTTACACTTTAACGTTCATACGACTACGAGCTCTTTTCATGTTGACCTGAGACAACTAAACAAGTAGTTCCCTGAGTTTGTTTACCGGTTATTACGGTTTCCAAGCCTCGCGATGGTATGTTTTTGTTCCAAGATAACTCAGGGGACCCCTGTGAAATCTCGGAAATTTTTACAAGGATTTGCTTTCACACTCATCCAAACCTGGTTACAACTTGTTACAAGTTGTTAATATTTGCAAAATAGCATCAGTGTGAAATGGGTATAAGATACGAATTTAACGAGTTAGCTAAGAGTTAACTACGAGTTTATCGATTCCACCATGAATTTGCTGTGTTAATTGTGACTTGTATTTATAGTTTATAATCAACGTCAAGTTAATGGACATTCGTATCTAACTTGTTAGTAGTAAGTTTGTAGAGAGCATAGCTTTGTTCTGAGCTAGTAAGAAACTCGCGCTAGGGCACATTGGTACTTTTCTAGTGTGTAAACTCGTAACTACACCGGAGAACTCGCAGCTAGCTTTTAATAAACTGGTATGAAACTTGAGTTTTAGGAATATTTAATTTGTAACAACTCGTGCGCCTCCGGAACGTGAAATTCTTATAAATTGTGAGAGTAGCCGTGGCTTGCGTTAACATTAATATTCTTGTGCCTTCATTAATCATCTTGCGTTTACATCAGTCATCGTGCTTTTGCGTCAAAATATGCCCATTAGATTGAAGTTTAACGGTCATCACGCAAAGTATTAACATCACTACAACCAATCACACTTTAGATGGCTCAAGGCAGGACCAATAATATGTTGTGAAAACAAGAGAATGTCACTTGTTCTTACCTTTGTTGATGAATCGAAGGCGAAGCTAGAGTGATTCACTCTTCCGACCATTACCGAGGAAACCGAAGTTACTCCCAGCACACGGATGGTATTCCACTGGAGACCACCTGCTGCAGATCCACCATTATTCGTCACAGTACCTGTCAACACTCCCTATTAAGATAATAAGTCCAAAAATAATGACATGACAAGAAAAAGAAGAGACAGCATTTTCAAGAATACTGCACATTTTCTCACACACAAGTCACATGAACGTGGCGTCATGGGGGGGGGGGAAGCAGCCGTAATTTGTTGGTCTAAATGAAATCAATAAATATAAACTTTACCTTTGAACATACAATGTCAGCTAAGAAGTAATTGCCATTTTCATAGGTATCTAAAAAAAACAATTAAAAAATAAGTGATAGGCATAGAAAATAGAGTTGCATCTTAAAAGGCACTCTTCTTCTATTCTAATATATCTCTTTTTAATCCAGGCTAATTAATGCACAGGATATTTCTCACGCCCCAATTTCACTCATTAGGTAAGTTACTATGGGAAGCCGAATTGTCATTTAATCGCAAATAGAGATATCTTATATTAAATAGAGATATATTAGTTTTACATTGAGATAACTTAGCCTAAAGAGAGATAGTCTTAACTAATATCTTTATTAACAGAGATATCTCTATTAAAATTAAGATATCTGTATCTGTGATTAAATGACATTTCTTCTGGCCATAGGTTATTGACGGTTTTTGATAAATAATGAAGATGTAGTAGGCATATCCATGATTTAGATCTTTGAGGATTTTAGTATTGTGCACGTGGTCGTACGATTTAGTACTGTAGATTTTAACGGTAACCATAGCAATGCTTATAAGCACAGAATCACATCCAATGATAAGGAAAGATACTTCAGGATGTTTATACTTTTAACATACACCTGTATGAAATTTTAAAATAGCGTAATGGACCTTTCCGCTAATCCCCCTCCCCTTAAATACTGTTGTAAGGTCCCACAAAACGACAGTGTTAAAACATACGCAAACACGTGCGTTTGGGGTACAAAACGTGTATTTTCAGACACTCCTAGCCCTGTTCCGATTGGTCAGTCGTTATTTCTAGAACAGTCCATTGAATTTTTGGTAATCTTAATGATATGCAAGTATATAAAATTAAGCAGTGGATATTAACGGGCAGAACGCCTAATTTTTTACAGTATTTTTTGTGATAATTAGTGAGAACCCTACCTTAAAGATAACCAAATTCGAGTAATACCGCTACAATATACACTAAAATATTAATTAATTAATTAATTAATTAAAGCATAATTACCAACAGAGTCCCCGTCATCCCAGAACAATGCTCCTGTTGCTTCATCTGCATCGTCAAGGGCAACTATCATTCCTAATGGATTCTGTCGACTATAGAGAGTAAAAATGACTA